GGTCACTCAATGAAATTTTGAGGTCACTCAATGAAATTTTGTGTTCCATTTACTTGTTTTTCTGCTTTTATCGTATTTATTTTAACATTTATAAATTGCTGTCAAGATAGAACTATACCAACCTATATAACGTAGCAGAAACGCTATAAACAGTATAAACTGAAGTACAATTAAAACTAGTTTATCTCAAAAGAAACGCTATAAATAGCCAACTGGTAATCTCGATAATATTGACAGCCACATAAATAGTATTCAGCAAAGAAGGTGAGAAAATGAGACATGCATACAAACATTCAACTTCGTCCTCCAAAACATAGTAGGCGTGCATGAATGCCACAACCCTATTGGGAAAAAAATCACGAAATTATCATATTATTTACAAACAACAAAACAATCGAACCTCAATGAATTTAAATTAAAAAAAAATAGATGGAAAGTATACAAAGTAAAATTATTTTATATAGTAGCATTGCTGTCAATGTATCTAATTGTTTCAAGTAGACTATCCAATTTCAAGGGTTTGGTTAAATGGTGGTCCATGCCAGCCTCAATCATCCTTCTTGTTTCCTCGCCTTGTTCATGAGAAGTTAATGCAATGATCGGAATGTGAACGTCGTAAGATTTCTCCTCTTTCCTTATCTCTCTTGCTGCTTCAAATCCATCCATTATTGGCATCTGTTTGAACACCAAAACGACGTCGGAACTGTTAGAACATAATATGGGAAAGAATTGATTACTTTTATAGTTTGATATTAATAAGAGTATTTACCTGGCAGTCCATTAATATATAATCATATCCATGTTTCCTATGGGTGACTAGATCATTGCGAACTAGGTCTAGGGCTTCTCCTCCATCTCCACAAAGCTTCACAGTTGCACCCCAATTTGTAAGAGTTTTCATGGCAATATGAGCTAGGGTTTTTTGGTCCTCAGCAACCAAAAACTTCTTCCCAACCAAAGGCCTGCTTGGCTTATCAGGTCCTTCTGTTTCTCTATGTGGAAGTGGGCGGCCATGTTCAACTGGTAGGTCTCTTGCTTTGGAGCTAACATTGTGAGACTTGTGATTTTGAGTTGGTGAAGACAAGGTTTCAAATTCACGGTCGGTGTGAAACTGGTATCTTGATGAACTAGGGGCTCTGGAGACTTTTCCAACATCAAATGTGCCCCCTAATCTCTTTGGCAGTGCACCTCCATACTCTGGAAGAAGTCTTACCACTTCATATAGACGGGTACCGTGAAGCGCCTTGTGTTTGATAACGTCGTCTGGATCAAGGCTGTCAAAGTTAATGTTGCTTTGTATCAATGGATTTGCCAACCAAACAACCTTGCACCAAGCATTTTGAAGGCTTTTTTGGAATTCAGCTACAATGTTGCATAACTCCTCAAATGGTCCAGCTGTAGTATCAATCACTAGCAATGTAAAGCATGACGATGTGCCACGAAGATTCGTGCTATTCTTCTTAAAGAGAGAGATTATGTTTTCTGTTCCATCCATTGCACCCATCAAAGGGTGCACCTCCTTTAATCTAAAGCTAGAGTTGCATGATGTGGATTTGCTCAAGCAATCTTGCAAACCCAAATCAGATATTCCTGAAGAACTATGGTGATGAGAATAGTACCCTTTCCCTTTGTGTTTTATCTTCTTGAGAGTAGGACGAAGTTGTTCCCATTGTTCTACCACCCATGCTTTTATCCCAATACTCTCCATGAACTTGTACACCATTCTTCGACGCTCTTCATTTTTTATCAGCAATACAACATTGGATCCCTCTGCCTTAGGACTCGGGGCACGAGCGGTCAGCCCGGGAGTACCGGGAGTAGGAGCACTGTGAATGGCAGCTATTCCCAATTCAAGGTCTTCTTCTTTTCTTCTATCCTTGTAGACATTCTCACATACATTACTTAGAAGAATATTAAACCTGAAGCATGTCCCTCTTTCCCCAATCTCTTTGTCCACAATTCTTATTTCGCCATGCATCAAACGTACCTAGTGCAAACAAAAATATCAAATTTAACGCATGCCTTAAATTCGAGAAATTCTTAAACAAGTTTATATTTTATTACTTACCAGAGATTGAACAATACCAAGTCCCAAGCCAGTACCTCCTTCTTTAAGAGCTGTTTCTTTGACTTGTACATAGTTTTCGAACACTGCTTTTTGCTTCTCCTTGGGGATTCCCTTCCCAGTATCATCCACTTCAAAAATAAATTCCAGGCAATTTGGATCTTGCTGGACCCCATTCATTACTTCCATGTCATCATCTCGTGATTTCTTCTTGTTTGATAGAAAGCACAGCAAATTTTTCAATACGGCACCGCTCCGGTCAGAATTCGCAGCTATAGAATTCTTGAAATCGGGTTTTTCGACCCAAGCACGAACTGTCACATGCCCCTCTGAAGTAAATTTAACGGCATTGCTTAATAAGTTGCACAATATCTGCTTAAGCCTTCCCCCATCGCCTTTAACTCGTGCAAACTTCATAAGAGAGCCGTCATAAGGATCCAACACCACATCTATGCCTTTTTTCAAACCCATAGGATGATACAAATCAACTACATCTTCAAGTAGCTGGGCCACATCAAATTCCTCTTCCACAAGTTGCATCTTACCGGCTTCAATTTTGCTTGTATCAAGAATAGAGTTCAATATACCTATATAACAAGTACTCAAACTGATATATCAACATGTATATAGCAGGATTCAGTTAAAAAAAAAAAAAAAAAAAAAAAAAAAAAAAAAAAAGATTAATTTATTAATAATTGAGAAAAGAAAATACGAGCGATAAAAATAACAGACATCGTATTGCAATAGATGGTAATAATGAAAAAAAATGAAACGCAATATTTAGCTACCTAATTTAAATTCCTACGCATAAATGTAAACGTTATATGCACATAAATGTTTTATCACACGAGTATATTGCATATATTGGAGGTTCTGTGCATACATTATATTAAAAAAAAGGCAAATAGGTAAAATATTAAATATCAACAATAGAGTAGCACCCAGTACCAGGTAATCACTGTATTTAGCAATATAACTTACCTAGAAGGTCCTTCGTACAATCTTTCATTTGTCTCAAATTGGTCTCTAGTTCTGAACCTCGGGCTACTTCATCGTAAGATATCTCGATCAAACCGGTAATGGCGGTGAGAGCAGCACGAACATCATGGCTTGCAGAAGCAAACGCAAGACTTTTCCTCATACTCTTCCTCTCAGCTTGTTGAGTCGCCTCCATTTGGTTTATGAGTGTGGCACAAAGAAGCATCTCCCGTTTCCCAGCACTAAGCATTACGAAAATATAACTCACACTGAAGACTCCCATAACAGCAATCATCACTATTAGGAGTGTGAATGCTACTTCGCTGTTCTTGTGAACAAATCTGACTAGCCCACTCTCTGTGGAAGCAAATGCAAGAACCTGAAACGTCTCGAAAATTCTTGTAACATTAATTAATTATTATGTAGATTACATGTATAATTAATTAACAAAATAATTAACTGTGAATTTTAGAGATTAAACTTACATTATGCTCGATATGTTTGATGATACCGATCAATAAACCAGAAAGTACCAGCATGCCAATTACCTACAGTAAAGTTTAGTTTGAATATTTGTAACGAAGTATTAAAGTGATAACAATGAGAAATTTAGAAGGATGAGAAGAAAAATTACCAACAAGACGAAGAAAACATGCCGCAACACAGTCCAATGTTGCAGCTTCATTGGGTCTGCTATTTGTTAGTTAACCAAGAGCTATATCCTGCAAATTTTCATGAAAATGTAAGCTAAAAAGGAGTAGATTCAACCAAACAAAAAGAGTTTTATTTATTTAGCCTGAAAAACTAAATTCAGAAAATAAATAAAAAATAAAAAATAAAAAATAAAAGAAACTGGCATATATTAGAGCATTCTTATAAACCCTCCAGTAAAATTCCCAGCCCTAAATCAGGACAAAATTTTGAGTTTCAAATTTACTATCTTTTAAACTAGCCACAAACCCTAGTTTTCTTGAAACAACACCCTTTATTTTTAGAAAAGCAAGATTTCATTAAAAAGGAAGCAAACACTGGCGGATGTAGGAATATTACCTCATGGGGTTAGTGGCATAAGTCTTTCGAGACATATATTATTTTAATATAAAAATATTAAAAATAATACAATATAATTCAATTGAAATACTAATTCTTATTCGACCAAAAAAAATTGTCATTCGAGCATAATAATAAATCCTAAAAATATTAAATACTCAATTGTTCATAATTCAACATCAAAGGAAGAACTCAATTCATTCACTAAATTTGATAGTTAACTAGGTCTGCATGGTAAATAAAATAAAATAAAATAAAACATTTTCCAGCTCATAAAACGCAGCGCTTCCTTTAAAATAATTTTAATCATTCCTTTTTTTCTTTCTTTTTAAATTCGGATAGGGGTAGCGTGTCAAAAGACCAATTCAATAGCACTGCCTCAAAAACGATGCATTCCACTCAAATTAAAAATAAGACTGAATGAACGACGTCGATTGGTTAAATAAAACCTTAGAAAGATCATAAAATAAAAAAGTAGCACGGTGGTTTGTACTTCTTCTTCTTCCCTCAGATACACGTCTCACAAAGCCGCAAAGCGACGTTGTTTTGCCCAAACTGCCAAGAAAAACCAGGGACCTCCAAGCCAAACTCAGGGCTGCCATGGGGTCAATTGACCCTTTTGTCCCTTGGTACGTCCGCCCCTGAGCAAAGCTGGCGGCTGATTCCTCCAAACAGCCACTTGATTTAACCCAGGGCATAACGTACAAGCTTATTTCTAGGGGCATCAACGGAGTGAGCCAATAGTGCTCTACAATATCTTGAAAAACAACCCTAAGAAAGACAAATCTGAACCCCCTTTGTTCACTGCACCAACGACAACCCCAATTCCTCTACAAACCTCATACCCTCCAATTTGATCAGGACACAGAGGTTAAATTGGGATATATATATATATATATATATATAT